TTGCACTGACAGCAGTGTGTCTCTCCAAAGCCTGGTAACAAGCGTAGGACAAGGAATCAGGAGTTGGATGATATGCAGTTGTCCATATGATACTGATGTTCGGTCTTCCAAAGCTGTTAAGTGTAGGAACCCTCTGCTCTCCTGTACTAGTGATCTAGAAGGAGATTTTGAGAGTACAGAGCTGCTCCGTTTTCCTTGGGCATTTCCTTAATTTGCTTCTAGTAGCAGCTGAATGATAGAGGAAACCCCTAGCTCTCCGTGGGCCTCCATTATTTGGTTCCATTTTTAGCAATAAACACAATATAGTGCCCCCAAAACCTACTATTTAAATGTCTTAATCACCCTTGGCATCCATTGGAAGAAAAAAGTAGCGTGTATGTCTTGGGATGAGGAAGGAAAGATCAGGATCCAGAAGCTTGCTATTTCTGATTCTTCAGTATGAGATTAAAGCCCACTTTAATCGCAGGCTTACAACCACTGCAAAATGCTAGCATCTACAGGTTGGTGTGACACCATTCAAATCATAAGTGTCACCACTGAGTGGCAGAGAATCCGTGGCGTTAGATAAGACTTGGTATATTGGAAGAGATAGGGCTTTACCAAGACTGAATCAAGATACCATTCATCGTGAACTGTTATGATCTTGTTTTCCAGTATGAAGACCAATACTTACTGTAAAAAGGACTGGTTCTGTAATGGTAATTTTCTCCCTCTTCTTCCTTTTCCCGTTCAGGTTAATGCAGTCATCTGTGGAATCAGTTTGGAATATGGCATTTGACTTCATTCTTGACAATGTTCAGGTAGTTTTACAACAAACTTACGGAAGCACATTAAAAGTTATCTGAACTTGTAGTAAAGAGCTTGGTGAGAGCCTGGAGCTCTCTGCTAGCTGTGCCATAAGTGCTTGTGAGGTATTTGCAAAGTGCATGATAGTAATGCCCTGAGTTTTTATAATTTCAAATTTCTTTTTAAACAACAAAGTGTTTTGTACATTTCTTTTCAGAAAGTGCCAAATTTGTCAGTATTGCATGTAAATAATTGTGTTAAAATTCTTTTATTGTAGTATAGAATCTATTTACAAAATGTTTGTTTATAAAGTTTTATGGATTTTTACAGTGAAGTGTTTACAGTTGTTTAATAAAGAACTGTATGTATATTTTTGTACTGATTCTATTTTGTGATGCTTCAGTTTGAATATAGCTAACCCCTTTTATTAAAGCCGCAGCTTTGATTCATTTCACGAAGTTTTACACAGTGACCCTGCCTCAACACACATAGGAGACTGCTGTATGTTCACCTGGCTGCTTTTTGTTTCTTCTCTACTAACTTTACAGATTTTAAGCCGAGGGAAGAATATTAGCTCATTCTCAGTTTCATCCTTCAAAGACAGAAACCAGTGTGGCCCAGCCACTCCCAAAGCACACACACGGTGTAAGCTGAAGCGTAATTGCTCTCTGAGCTCTGTGTATTCAGGTGTACGGTTACCTCTAGAGATGTGTGCTCGTGGAGGAAAACAAATGGAGATCTGTAAACAGTTACCCAAAAGAAGCACTGTCAAGGAACTAGGCAGTAGCTAACACGGAGCACTGTTTAAGCCTGTATCAGTCCCCTGCATTGCTCCCACTCAGGGTAGAGCCACATTCCACTCTTAAAACACCACCGTTCTCCCCAGCCTGCGACATGCATTTCCTTTATGCAGCGTAACAAAATAGGTTGTAGTGAGTAGCAGAAGTGAAATAAATAGCCCTATCTGTTTGTGGTAGGGAGTGGTATGCTTGCATCTCTATGGTTTGTGTTTTGGGCAAGTCTGCGTTTTCCAGATGCAGCCTCGTACACCAGCCTCGTAGAGTCATATTTGGCCCAATACGGTGAAGCAAGGCTGTTCAGGTGCCTGGGAAGAAAGAAGACCACTTGAAGAAAACCCAGGTGGTAAGAAAAATCTTTTCATTTTCTGAAGAAATGACTGGGGGGTGGGGGAAAGGGAAATCAGAAGTACCCCACGTAACCCTGGATGGGTGTGGACCCACCCGACTGTAGAGTGGAAAGCTGGAATGCAAACTGGAGCTAGCCCTGGAGCAGGATTTGCACCACCAGCTTAGCTGGAAGCATCTCCACGACCCCAGGGCAGGAGCTGCTGCACTCAGGTTAGCTGCGGCTAACAGTACAGCTAGAGCAGGGAGCGCTCTGCAGCCACTTCACTGGCTGGAGCACAGGGTACTACAGCAGTGACAGCATTGTTTAGCTTTAGGTTGTGCCCTAGGCTTCCCTTGTAATGCACACAGGGAGAGGTACCAACCTGGCAGCCTTCTACAACAAGGTGATGGATGAGGGAAGGGCAGTAGATGTTGTTTCCCTTGACTTGAGTAAGGCTTTTCATAATATCTCCTGTAGCATCCTCATAGACAAGCTGGTGAAGTACAGGCTAGAGACAGGGATGTGGATTGAGAACTACCTGGGCAGGCAGGCCCTGGGCATGGTGATCAATGGCAGAGAGTCCTGTTAGAGGCCAGTCCCAGGTGGTGTAACCCCACGGTCAGTACCAGGTCCAATCCTGTTCAACATCTTCATTAACGACCTGGATGATGGGGCAGAGCAAACCCTCAGCAAGTTTGCTGATGACACAAGATTGGCTGATACGGCAGAGGGCTGTGCTGCATCTAGAGAGACCACCAGGCTGGAGAAACGGGCTGGTGGGAACATCATGAAGTTCAACAAGGAGAAGTGCAAAGTTCTGCACCCAGGGAGGAGCCACACCGTGTACTGGGGGCCACCTGGCTAGAAAGCAGCTCTGCAGATAAGGCCCTGTGGGTTGCTTGAGCCAGCAATAGTCGCTCACAGCAAAGGCAGCCAACAGCCTCCCAGGCCGCATCAGGAAGAACATCACCACTCTGCTCAGCACTGGCGAGACACACCTGGTCCAGTTCTGGGCTCCTCAGTGCAACACCAACGCAGGGCCACAAAGTTGCTTAAGGGAGTGGAGCTTCTCTCATAGTACCAAGAGAGGCTGAGAGGGCTGGGACTGTTCAGCCTGAAGAAGAGAAGGCCAGGGGAAGGGGGGAAGAATAAACACCTGATGGGGGAATAAGGAAGACAGACAGACGCTCCTCTGTGGTATCAAGTGAAAGGGTACAAGACAATGGGCACAAACTGGTACAAAACATTCCTTTTAAACACCACCCCCGCCCCCAGAACAGGTTGTCCACAGGAGTTGTGGATCCTCCATCAGTGGAGATGCTCAAAACCCAACCACAGTCCTGGGCAACATGCTCTGACTGTCCATACCCTGAGCACAGCGGGGGTTTGGACTTGGTGACTGGAAGAGGTCCCTTCCAATCTCAACCAGTCTGTGGTAAGTCTGATTTTTCCAGTTTAGGTTAGCTTGTTAGATATTGGTCTATATAACTGCATCTCTTTGTAGATAGATAAATCTCGGGGGGGGGAGGCGGGCTGGAGAAGGACCTTACCTCAATCAAGTTGTCTAGGTTTCCACTAGTTTCTAGTTTGGGTCTTTCAGAGCCCCTTTAGTTGCTGCTTTTGAAGCTGCTAACTGTTCACACAGAGGAATGTATTTGCTGAAATTCAAGCAAGTATTTTACCAGTTAGGTTTCAGGTACGCAGCTCTGGTTTTGTGACTGCTCCTCAAGACATACTTCAAACTAGCATCTTTTTCTTTAAAACGAGAACAAAGCATTACTTGCTTAACTGAGGGAGGCTGTTTGTGATTATATTTTCATTCTCCCTTAGTGATCCCTGCTTCAAGCCCTTAAATATTACATTCAACAGTTATCTGCTTCCTTAAAGCCTTTTAGTGAAGGTATTTTGTTAAGTTCCACAACAGCAACCTGCAATAGCAGCATGATCCTTTCCCCCAGGTTTTTATCCACATTCAAGGGAACAATCAAGAATACGTCAAGACCACAATGTTTGACATCTGGGTTCTTAAGTTAAGAACTTCTTTTATTAGTGTAGTTTTCACGATTGCATAGTTTGCAAAAGAAAATTGTAACAGTTAAATGCAGTCTCCTCACTGTGATCATTCTATTCTAAACCACCGACACACCCAGTGATGTGAGTTTGCACCACGCGCCAACCATACTGCAAAGGTCCTTTTCACTGGCAAGTTTGAAGTCTAACAAACCAAAAAAATTCTGGTAATTTAAATTCCATTGCCAAAGGAGGCAAGTTATTACATGTTCCTTTGTAATGGAGTCCGCACAATCCCAATTATAAAATTCAGATTTTTCTAACAAAAAAAGTAATCTCAGTGACAGAAGAAATCTGATCAAACTGCATGTTGCAAGTTAAATTCTTGTAAATATTTTAAATGCTAAAAATCTCAGCTACATGCAAGATCGTTATCAATTTTGTTTCAGCTTGTGCTTTTGAGAAGTGCTTAGCTCCTCTCAACATGAGCTGTGAGTTACCAGGAGACTACCTGATGAGAGGTGTGTTGAGCTGTCATCCTAAGCAGGGAACCCCAGGGGAAGGAAGGGTAGGAAAATGCTGGGATTACAGACTGGTTAACGTAGTTTATGATGACCAGGAGTCAAACGCATTTCGAGCTGGTTCAGTCCCATGGTGTCGGATGACTCGACAGCTTTGATGCAGCATCCAAAGTCACTGCTCACTTGCAGACAGGGGTTTTGCAGGTGCTTACCACGACTCTGATCAGCAGCTGGAGAAGAGATGCCACATCTAAACTCCTCCCAGCAGAGGGAATTCCTCTGGGAATTGTGACTTGCTAAACACCTGGCCTGCAACTCCAGTGCTTTGGGAACACAGTAAGAGACATGAGCCACCGGGATCACCACCACCACGTGCAGTGCACGCTCCGCAAGGGGAAGTGAAGCCAGAGGAAGAAACGCCTTTGCTTGAACACGCCTCCGTTACTCGGCCAAGCACAGCAAGGCAAGGCTCCTCCTGGCACCTCCACATCTGTCACAGCCCATGAAGTGAAACTTTGTTTATTGAAGCAAACTGTAAAACAAATGGGCTACTATGTCCATCTCCTTTATTTGCAGCTCTGCGTTATAATGATTACAGGTCGACTTTCATGAACTGTACAAGCAGTAAAAGGCGGCCAACTATGCTTTACATCATTGTTTCACACAAAGCAAATACAGAAATACCCAATTGCCTAATTTTCTATTTAAAAAAATTTCTATAGGCACAAAGCAGAAGAATGTTGGAAAAGAGAGTCAAGGGAAGAGGTATGCATAAATAAAGAAGTACTTCTTACATCAAAAATGTCCCAAGAATCACAAAGTCTGCAGAAGCTTGCTTAATCAAATACTGCAGTACTGATCTCATCAGTATAAAAGTGAAAGAGCTTTAGTTCTGTAATAAAAATTCAATTTATTTTATTTTATTTTGGAGAGAGGGAGGGAAGAAGGGTAGAAGGAAGGTGTATGAGAAGGAAGGGCAAACTTTAAAACAGCAGCCAGTATTAGGAAGGGCAGTGGGAGAGGAACAGGCACATTGGAATCATGGGAACATGTAAATTGACCACTGTCAAACCAGTGTAAATTTCTTGGTTTCTCATGGAAAACATTTTATCCACATATTTTCCTGCCAAACATATATCCAACACTGTCTTCAATATATGACTTTGTTGGTAACTTTTAGAACAGGAATAGTGCGTTTATTCCTGCCTCCCCATTGCTGTAAAAAGTCATCTAGATGATTTCAAACACTTTCTTCAGCTCTACTATAAGCTGCCAGTCAGACTTCTGCATTTCGTCCCTGAACCAGTCCTTCAGCGCATCGATGGACTGACGACTGATCTGTAATACACAAGACAAACCCATCAGAACCATACGCATGCATATTAACAGAGGCAGCTTTTAGTACGTTGGAAGCAATTAGTCTGAAGAAAGGGCATCCGTCTGCACAGCAGGAAAGCTCGTTCTAATCCCAGTTTTGCTACTGATCTGCTGCATGACCTGTCCCATTCATTTCCCTTCTTTTCTCCTCACACCCCTCACCTGGTCTCAGAGCCTGCAGAAGCACAGACAGTCTCGCGCCTTGTGCGGTAAGGCAAGAACCTGTGACCGGAGAGGATCTCCCGCTTTCCCCGGGGCCTGCAGCACCAGCACCGCCTCCCAGTCCCTGTCACAGGCCCTGCCTCTGCATCTGAAAAGCCCCTACGGCTACTCGCCCCCCATTTGTGGGTACATGCCCCCAGTGTGCGCGTGGCAGGGGGGTGTCTTACAACATGGTAACTAAAGCAGTTGGGGACATGGAGAGCTGTGGCTTTACCTCGGACAGTAGAGAACTCAGCAAGGAATCGTCTCCTCATCCAAGCCCAGTGTTCCAGAGTCGGAGCGACTGAAGTATTGCTATTTATTGCACAATTTCAAAACTAGGCAAACAATCACGCTGTAATGCCATGGGGGACTGCTAAGCTGCTCTCAGCACCAGCTACATACAATGGGATGCAAATAGCTTATTTAGCATTTTACCCCCTCAGGTGCAGTAAGCTGCACAGTATTTTTAGCTGCAGTACATCATTCCTTCGGTCCTCTTGAGGGGCACTACTACAAACCTCAAAACATGGCTACAGAGAAACCTGGCTGAACAATGCCACAGACAAACCATTTCCAGTGTCTGTCTGTCCCTGATGGGAGGTTCCTAGTGTATGTTTTTCAGGCTTCATGCAACATTTCCACTTCACACAAGCTGCCACTATGTCATAAACCCTCTCCAGAAATACAGATTGCTTTTACCTTACTGACGAGGATATCTGTTGCTTCAAAATGTCGTCCATACATTTTAGGTGATTCACCAGGAATAGGTTCTATTTTAACACATACTTCTTGGCCTTTTTTTGCAACCTCCACTGGTTTATGGTTTATTTCAATGCTTGTAACTATTCCAATTTCAACAAACTGTAATACAATGAAGAAGCTGTAATACACATCCACAAAACCTCTGTGCGCACACTCTTCTCTAAATTCCCGTTTATATACACAGACTTGCTCGTACGAAGTACTGCACCAGCAGAGCAGCCACCTCAGAACTGGCAAAGCAAAACATACTGCACTATAAGCACATTGTACTGAAAAGGGCAGCAGCATCAACCCATCGTAGTTCATCTGGGATATCAACTTGTTATCCCTTAAAATGTCAGAAGTTGACTTCCCCCCCTTATTAGCTACCAAGAAAGACAATTTTGCTCGTTACTTTATATCACAATACAGAAATTGCAGCGGGGGAAGGAGGGAGGCTGACTGGCAGATACCCTCTAGCCATGCTTCTGGTAGGGCCCTGCGGCAGTCAGGAGGCTGTGCCGCGCTTAAGGACTCAACTCTGTTCCAGCAGAGAACAGTAAGATGGTTGATCACCAGGAAACAGACTTGATCTAACAGTCTGAATCTCATCTACCAAAACTCTGTACACTGGGGAAAGGCATGCAAGCGTTTCCTGGTGCGTTGTCCCAGGAACTACGAGGCAGATCAAACGTCCACCGGGAAGAGGTGCTTACTTACATTTTTGCTAGGTACACACATGGGAGTCCCCTGCTTCACCTGGCCGGCCTCCACAACCACGCCCATCACTATTGGGTCACGAGAGTTGAAAATGAACTGAGGGAGTATTTTCATCTTGCAAGGAAATACTGCTATATGCCTGGAAGATGACAAAGAAAAGGCATTTTGAAATAGATACTGGAACAACGCACACAACATTAACAGTTCTGCCTTCTCCCACACTTCTTGGGCATTTATTCTAGGAGTGTCACTGGGGGAGGAATCAAGCAGGAAAAAACTCTTGTCCAATCTTGCTATTTCTAGTCAATACTTGATCTTCAAGAACTATAGGGAACAGTAATCAAGCATGGCTGGCATGGATTTTATTTTGACTAGCTTGGGCAGTCAACTAAGACCAAGACCAAAGGAACAGTAATTTTACAGTATAATTATAGTCTCAGAAGAGCACAGGAATAGAAATAATATTGCCTCAACCCAACACAGGGACTCCAAAAATTCAAGATTTTTGTATGTAAAGTGAATGAATTTTTTTAAATGCTGAGGTATACAAACTCAAATTGGGATCAATATGAAATGACATACACTTTCATTTATTTTGTCTGTCCTTACTTCACTGATGATCAGCCAATGACACAGATTCCAAAAATTAATTTTGGGTCCCTATAAATTCTTAAATGATTGCATATTCATGTTACTGCAGTCAGAACTAAGCCCTGTACACTGGAATTGCATAAATATGAAACAATAGAATCCAAATCCCTTCAGTTTTGTTTTCTCTGCAAGACTAACCCATCTGTCACAAAGCAGAAACAAAAGCCAAGTATACAAAGCAAACATTAATAAGAACAGTCCATATTACATGATAGTTTTAGCTAAATCTTATAACCGCTTCACAACTCTCACCCTACTAAGCCTAATCCCAGATGTAAACAATTAGACTGGAGTTACTGTCCTATCCTCATCCTCCTTTCCTTCCTTCCTATTGGAGCTACGTGCTAAATTATATATATGGAAACAAGAAGTTAAATGCAATTTCATTTATAATAAAACAATTAAGAGACACTGTTACTTGGGAAGCATCCAGAATAGGATTGCTGTTACTTACTTGAATTCCTCTTGTTTCTGTTTTTTGTAGTCTTGTCTATATTTTGTGAAGGCATCAAATAAATGATAAATTATTTCAGCACTAAAAATTCGAACTCCTAAACTATCAGCCATTTCCTGTGCATCACGTTCAATCCTCACATCGAATGCCAGAATGACTGCATATCTGTAAGTAAAAATAAGTCACAGTTCACTAGACAGACCATAGAACCAGAGCTAAGGAGGGGGCCTTCCTAAAACACCACCGCACATTTATCAGCATAGTAAAGCAAAGCCGTTACTTACTGTGGGTCATGCTCCAGCATAACTGATGCCTTCATAACATCTTTTTTATGGACAGGACCTATGTTAATTCCTGAATACTGTTGAAAAGGAAAGCCACACAAATCAGTCACTACTCTTTCTGAGTCAAAAGGAAACAGTTATCAAAACATAGAAACAACAACATCAGGTACAGCATAGAAGTACTTACTGGCACTTCTGATGTTTTAAGAAATTCAAGTAATGCTTCTAAAGAGCCTAAAGTAGAAGCCTGGACATAAACACCTTTCTCTTCTAATTTGATTGCATTCAGTGTTTGCTTCAGTTCATGTATTAGTTCATCCTTCAGAAAAAAAAGAAGAAAAAAGCAAGTTTTAATTCTATTGCTATTATGCCGCAGTGTACAAAGTCTTTCTGTTCACGAGCTGCTGGAAGTATGTGACAGCCATACTGATAGGTACCAACTTACAGACTTGCAGTAAGTTGCAGCCCTGTGATATACTGCTGCTTCCTTCTGGCATTGGAAAAGTCTGAACTGAACTAGACTTGAGGATTTTGCAAGAAGGTGATCATGTAACACAAAGCAGATGCCCATCTTGGGAGCTAGTAACATGTCTCTGCAGACTACACATTGCTCTCCCCAGCACTGTAAGTTTCTACTGGCAAGACTGAGTGAACACACACCCCACAGCGTGTGGCAGTATCTTTGGTTGCCTAACTGAGGATCAACAATAAAAGCAGACACTCCTAAAACTGTGAGCTGGAAAGGATTCTGAACGCTCTTTAGGCCTAGGTACAAAGCAGAGGATACAAGAGCAGCAAGGCCATTTTGCTGCTTTCAGAGAAGTTAGAAAAAAACATTTAAGAGTCCATGCTTTTTAAACCCACTCAGTCTTTTCCTCTGCCAATGGGTGTTGCCATTTACTTTAAGCCCTCACATATCTACTACTAGTACGCTTTACATACATACTTGTACGTACCCAGAAATAAGGTCTGTATTTGGAGGACCTGAAAGATTAACCTCCCTTTAGAGGCAAAGATAAGTAGACAGAAGGCTAAAGTAAAACTATGGTTAAAAGTAAACGATCAACATGTGAGTTTCCTTTTTAAAATAACTTCCTGACTTTGGAGAACAGGAGCATCTCATCTCAATTTTGGTTTTAAGATAGCTACGTTCTTTCCTCGGCCATTTTTAAAGTGTAAGTCACGAAAGAAATTTACTACAGAAGTGTTAAAATCAGCTTTGCAATTATGGTAGTTTGAAGAACTCCACTAGCAGATAATTGCCTAATATAATTTAATTGAAATATATGCATAAATTACTAAAAATACCAAATCAGTAATTAACAAATAGCCAAACTATGCTACAATACTTGTTTTCAAACCTTATTCTACCAGCAAAGACACCCCAGCAAAATATCAGGGAAAAGCTAAGGGTCAAGATACTAAAAACATCACCACACTCATGCTTCACATGGACACAAGGCTACAGCGTATTATTGTAACGTTTTTTAAAACACAACCAAAAAAAGTTACCTGCGTACTGAGCTCTCAACATTTGAATGAGCTTCATCACCAGAACACTCAGTTACCCCCCAGTTTAAGTGTCTTATTTCAACATTAGCCATCTCACCTTGAGGACTGGGACTTCATCTTCTTTATAAGCTACAAGCAATGGCAAACCAGCCAAAGTTTTTTCCAAATCTTTCCCAAGAATCTTCACACCTTGAGCAGCAACGACTTCTTTGTGCTTTTCATACTGGTTCTGAAAAGGAGAATACACAATAGCAAAGAGTTCATGTAGAAGCTATGCAGCAACACAAAGTAGTGCTGAGCAGCTAAAGAACTTGCTACCAGCAAGCACAGCAGATAGCATGACAGTGAAGTCCAGCAGTGAAGCTCCCATCTTTCATCAGTGATTTTCTCTACTTCACATTCCTGGCATGCATGTTTCAGTCTGCATGCTCCTTTCCCATCAGATACCTTCCCAACGCTGCCCACCCCCCACCAAGGAAGGCAGGGCAGGGAGAATCGTCTAAAAGCAGAGAAGATGGCCAAAAAGGAATATATACTAGAAAAGAGCAAGCAGTGATAGGCAGCTGCCCACTAAAAAACAAACAAAAAAAACCCCATAAATTCAGCCCCATAGGGAAGTAAGGGGAAGATGCTGACAGCTTAACTAAAACACTAAAGCTTAGCTGACACAGCCCAAGGCTCTGTGCAAGAAGAGCTGCCTCATTCTGCCCCTGGAGGCCTCCCATCCAGCCTTCTCATGTACATAGTTCCATGCTCAATTTCCCAGGTGCTCCTCCCCACCCAGGGGAACCTCAAGATCTCTCTCCACTCAGGGCATGGCTCTAAGGCATCACAGAAGCAGTTATTTCTGAAGACCTTTAAATCAATGTTGGGGGGATTTTCTGGTTTGTTTCTTCATTTTCTTTGTTTACAAGATGTCCCATCCTTTTCTTGAAACTGCAAGGCAGCTTCCTTCCTCAGTAAGCACTTTGTTCCTGCAAGCCTCTATTCTTTAGCCCTCCACCCCAAAATTTGGGTCTTATTTCAAGGATGACAATTCCCCATGGACAGGCTGAATTGAAATGTATCCTCATTGCCTGCTTCAAAAAAAAAACAAAACAAAACCCACACCAGCTCTCTTGATCCACTTCCCCAGCTAAAGGCTCCCAAATCCAGTGTTCTCTGTCTCGGTGGTGGTAGCCTATACTGCATCTCCCACCGAAGTGCAGAAACTCATCTGAAGATCTTGGTGATGGGAACCTGTGATCTGTTACGTTGCTATTCAGTCCCACAAACAAACTTCAGTCTCATAAGAGTTTCACACACCAGTTTAACTTCTGCTTTAAATAAAGGGAAGCAAACAGACGGAAATGCTTTCAATTCATTCCTCACAGTACCAGAATATATTCAACAGCTTCCAACAAAGCAGAGAACATAACCTAAGCATAAATGTCAATTTTCCTTTTGCCACTCTCTAGCCATTATCAAGTTATTACTATAAAACTGTGCTCCAGAGCAGGAAGCCTGACTTAGATTCTCCAAGGCAACTGTCCTACCCCACAGGTGTATTAGACTGCCGTATACACAAGTGGAAAGAGTAACTCGTCTTCCTATTTAAAGCAGGCCAAGAAGCAGAGGATCACCATGGCAGAGAGAGAACACCAACATCAACCCAGGCCCCAGCAATTATTAGTACTATTTTACAAGAGTATCTAAGTTTAGGGAAGGAAGTAGATTAAACACTAAGGACTACAGTGGCCTGCAGAGACACAGCTCTCCAACAAAATGAAGCACACCACAATTGTTATGGCCTTAGATTAGGACCCTGACACTAGTTTTCCACTTCTAAACCAAACCTTTAAGGGCTGTCCTATTACATTCACCTAGGTTATCTGATTGGTTTTCTTTGCCTTAAGCAAAATCTGTGCGCTTATTCTTTCCCTTTTGAACAGGAAAAATCAGAGCAGCTCTTTTCATCATCTTTCATTTGTATGTATTAATATTAATGTATGTACTAATGTATTTATAGCCTTTAGTTTCTGTGGCTCTCCTCCTCCTTTCATGGAAAGCAATACAGGCAGGATCTCAAATTCAGTGTCTCTCCCCAGTCTATTAAGACTAGGGCAGCAAACCTCCAACAACTCTTGAAAATGACAAAAGGCTGCAGATTCTGCAGAGGTCCTGGTCATTGCCACTCACCAACTGCTCCTAGAAACTCACTTGTTCACTTTTCTCAAGTCTAAGTGTATATGATTTTTGTTATTAAAAAAACACTTTTACTAATAATATGTATTTTAACTCAGAAGTCACTGTACTAGTACACTCCAATTTTCATTAACATGGGTGTCTCCCTCTCACACATAGCCACATGCTTAAATCCCTTATTAAAGCATACACATCTTAATCCTCACTGCAAGGCAACTCCTTGATCCTTTTCTTTGCCACTGTTATAAACAGACACACCGATAGGTAAATACAAGTACTAGATGTGCACTGTCTTCCCCTGTAAGTCATCCTTAGATACTGCTAATATAACTGCACTCAACTGCATTCTCCTTTTTTATAAAACTTTATTTTTTTTTCTGGTTCTAAATCTTCTCTAAATGTCAATAAACTAACCAGTTTCCATACCTTAACTCGTAGCTCCTTCATAGGAGGAGGCAGCAGAAGACCTCTAATCTGAGTTACTATAGGACCTTCTACCCCAGGAACAATAATGGTGTCTCCTTCTTTCAGGCGTCCATTAATCAAAATAACATCTATAGTAGTGCCCATGCCTGGTAGTGCTTTAACCTGAATGAAAGGGGAAAAAAAAAGTTACTCCCTACTTAAGCACTTCAAACACACCTTTTTCAACCAGGAAGAAGGGGGCAGGGAAGGGAGAAATTTCTAGATGAATTTCAGAGAACAGCTGCTGAATTACCTCCATGACTTGAGCTCTCAGCTCCTGACATTCAGCTAGTCTCTTGGTCAGCATAGTTTGCGTTAGCTCAACGAGAAGAGCTATCAGACTTCCCATGCCATCCCCTGTGTGAGCAGAGGTAGGTACAAGAGAAACAAAAGTGCGGGGATCCTTATTCTCATAAAACAAGGCAGCGTTCAAGCCCTGGAATCAGGATTAATAGTTACATCGGGAAAAACATACATTCACATCAGTATCAACAGTAACATTCAACCCCAGTCAATTAGAATTGCATTTTTTAAATCCCAATTTTAAAAAAAACATTGTTACTGACAGTATGCTGTGGATCATGAAGCCTCAACCCACACTTGGAAGCAGTATGGGATAACTCTACAAAGCTAATTACCACATCTAGCTTCTAGACAGCATCGTATGTCGCCAACAGAAGTTCCCAGAACTGATGTGATTCATGCCCTGCCAGCATCCAAGGGAACAAGAGACAGATGGGATTCTCTCAGGCGATTCCCAAAGAAAGAAAGAATAGGGACAGAAAACTTAATCTGCTATGCATGACTCCACTGACCACACACAGCAATTAGCTGCTACTTTTCTCCAAACCAGCACTCTAAGGATGGAGCAGTTAAAAGAGATTAATTTAGCAACAACAAACTTTGGTTTATGAGAGGTAACACCAATGTGTGAGAAGAGATGCAGCAGTTTTCTTGATATTCCAAGTTGTTTTGTGGAAAGAAAAAAAACACCAAAACAAAAAACCCCACACACAAACCACACCACCCACCGTCTTTACTATCACTTTTGTTAACCAAAGAACCTTGAATATCCCAGCCTACCTGTTTCGCAAATTCCACTATGATAGCTTTTGCACGTTCTTCAAATTCATCTTTCGTATTCTTTTTCTGCTTCTTTAAGGTCACAGCTACATCTGTATCTGGACTTTTTTTCCAGTCATATAACCTATCAATCTTGAAAATACAGTAATACGTCATTTTATGCAGCTTACTAAAAGGCATCTTTATGCATATGCCACATCATCTGTCAGAAATACTTTACCAGCCAACATAGTTAGCCATCTATTTCCTCCAGTAATCAAATTAAATCTTTTCATTTGCTTTAGCTGCTATATTTATCTCTGTTTACGTATTTACCCAATGTCAGACAGTATTTCACAATAGCAATACTACTTCAGGTTTTAAAAATTCAAGCTGTAATAATCTAGGTTCATATGGGAAAAGTTTATATACATTAATTACATCAAGTTTAAGGTAAAACATTCAGGAGAGAGAGCCATATATAGGTTCACATACACAAAAAAAGAAGGTGGTTTTTTTTTCCCCCTGAAAAGAGACTGTTCTAGCTTTACAAAGAACTTTTAAAACTTACTGGTGAATTTGGACCCTTTCTCATGTTGCTACACAGAAGGGATCACAGGGGAGTTGTTCAAAAGACACAACTGCATACTTCAGAAATACTTCCCTAAGTAAGTTTTCAAAGCAGGATGGACTTAGTCCAAGCAACTGTTATGTTTGCTGTACAAATCAAAACTACATCTTTAGAAAGTGGATTATAACCTGGTCAAATGAAAGAACTATAACCTGAAATGCAAGAATTTTTGGCTATTTAATCTCAGGCTCACTGTAGGCCTTAACACCTGTTCACCCAATAGTTTTTTTAAAAAAGCAGCTGTTTTCAGCAATGAGATAGTGGCCGCCTCAGTTCCAATCACCTCCAATCTTAATGCTCATTTTATTTTTTAAAGTATACTGCAATTTTTACACTGCACATGAATACCCTTCCATAAATTCTCTGTCAGCATGTCAGATAGCATTCAAAGTCATTGGACACAAGTAATTTCCTCATTATAATTCATATAAATCATCACAAAGAACCAGCGTAATTTCTCATGCACAGGATTTCTAAAAACAAGGTTGAAAATAACTGGCTTTACCAACTAATATTGCAGAGCCTGAAATACTTCCCACCAATGATCAACATTATTGTTCCATGAGCTTAAAAGCCAGCTTGTCTTCAAGTCAAACTAACAAGCATCAGTAGCTAAAATAAAGTAAGACTTTTCAACATGAAGCTTGTCTTTCCATTTTATCAGAAAATGCACACAAATCCAGATAAGTAGGTGCAAGAAAAAAAACACAACTGAAGTACAACTTCCAGAAGTGTGAACCATATACAGAAGTTACATAAGGTAAAGAAACTTATCAGTAAGGACTCCGAGAAGAACTGATAGATTGTTCTGCAAAGCTCCTGTAAAGCCACTGGGGTATCAAGGACATGAAAATTACAACAGAGGATCTAAGAACCACTGCTTCAGACTTTACACAAACAATTCAAGTTCATGGAAGAAAACAGAAAATTGTCAGATGCCAAATACACTATTAGAGTACAAAGACACACTATTAGAGTAAAAAGCTATCTTACCTTGTTGAGAGCTACTATAAAGGGGCATTTCTTCGATTTCAACAGATTTATTGATTCAATTGTCTGTGGCTCCAAACCATGCATGATGTCAACTACAAGTATAGCAATATCACAAAGTGAGCTTCCTCTATTTCTTAGATTGCTGTGGCATTAAAAAAGGAAAAAAAAAAAAATCAGTCATAGCAACAGAACAATAAAAACACCAAATACAATGTCAAACTTACATTGACCAACAAAAGGCTAAAGCTGATCAAGCAGTTATTTTTCCCTCAAAAATGTAAACTATATCCAAAAAAATATTCAAATCACACTGCGTAAATTCCATTTAGCAGAATATATTAGAGTATGTGTAAGCAAAAATAAGAAACTATTATTCTTCCAAGAGTTCTCCTATTATTACATATTTTTACACGTTAAGATATGTTCTGATTTTTTCTGAGTGAGAATTGAGACGGTTACAGTGAAATACAGGAGTGCAAAATCTGAACAAGACGGTTTATTTTACAGTACTACATAAACACTAGGATTATCAGACATCTTTGGTGCCAAACAAAACCTGGCTAGAAGATGAAGAGCTGTAAGCGATATGATGCCAAGGAACTGATCAGAACATTACCAAGTACCCTAAGACATGGCATTTCAATGCTCGCAGAAGTTTATGTTTAAGAATGTCACATCGAAGTCTTAACCCTTCTGTTCGGAGATTCTATCTCAGTTCGAGCACTATCTCAGTGAGCACAGTTATGCATACCATGTTTTAAACTTAAAAGTTGGCTTGCCTGCATGCCACCGGTGTTCCTAGACAGCATATGGTCTCTGCTAAGACTCAGCTGACTTGTGCAATTGGTAACCTCGTCTTATGAACTCAGTTACCTTAACTGCGACACTATGAACTGGAGGCTAGGACAGAAGTTTTAATTTTTCACAGCAGAGTTCTTAGGTCACCTGAAATCCTCACCTTTTCTTCTCCAGCTAGCTTCCTGCTTCCGCCTTTCCTCTTACACTAACTATTAAGAAAAAAGTTATTTACATGCTTTGTCAGATATTCATGGCTCAATTGGCATGAAGATAGAAAACTAAACAGATAAAAGGCCAGCAATTAACCAGATATAAAAAGCACCTGCAAACTAAGTAAATCCACTTATTCCTCTACATTAGGTTGTTTGGGTTTTTTTTAAAGTGAGAAGAAACACAATGGATTAGGCAAAGACCTAGCACTTTGTTAAAAATATATCCAGACGCTTTAGCCATCACTTCTGGGAAGTACTATATTGTGAGAAAACATTACCTGAAAGATTCATGTCCTGGAGTGTCGATTATCAGCATGCCCGGAATTTTTATGTTCTCTCTGTCAAACTAATATTTCGAAATATTAGCCATCTTGAAAGATTACACAAGAAGGGAGAAAAAAAAAAAAACTAAAGAACTGGCAGCATTACTGACAGCCTTCACTTCAAAAATCCAGATACATATTTTAAAAAAGGCCAGTACCCTCTTTAAACCAAATCACTCAAAGCTCATTTTGATATAAAAAAATTATGATGCAGCACATTCCCCTAGGTATCAAGTGGCCATAAGCTCAGCTAAAATTTCTAAGACAAGGCAGCCTACAGGGGAAAAAATAGTTCAGGCTAGTGAGATTTATCATCCTTGCCTTGAACATTTCCTCCTCTCCACTGACTTTACATTTTTAATAAATTGAGTAAAATCTTGGAAAAAGCCATCACTACCAAGGTTTTTCAGTCAGCTGCTGCCACAAGCAAAATAAGATATAGTATCCAAAACAAGCAATACAGAATAGGATATAGTATCCAAAACAATACAGAACAGTTACTGTATCTGTAACACAATAAAATTCATCACCCAGGAATTGGCCCAATTTCAGCACACACAGTAAAAAGGTAAGTTTTTAACAGAAAATATACTCAATAAGTTTCAAAATTCTCAATTTACAATCAAAATATTGACAAATAAGCAGTTCACATACATATGTGTACTGTCCAGAACAACGTAAGCAGTATTTGCATATTTTTCTGAAGAAGTGGTAATACATTAACTGAAACCAAATGTATCAACTAAAATGAAAAATAAGACAGCCTCCCCTTTTTTTTT